AGCAACGTTACATGATAATGATCATCCAGCAACGTTACATGATAATGATCATCCAGCAACGTTACATGATAATGATCCTCCAGCAACGTTACATGATAATGATCATCCAGCAACGTTACATGATAATGATCCTTCAGCAACGTTACATGATAATGATCCTTCAGCAACGTTACATGATAATGATCCTTCAGCAACGTTACATGATACTGATCATCCAGCAACGTTACATGATACTGATCCTTCAGCAACGTTACATGATAATGATCTTTTAGCAACGATAATTATCATCTAGCCGTTGCTCTCACAATCCAATATTCTCGTCATTAATTGTGTTTGGTAGAGAGTTTACTTCGCCCCTTCCCTTTTCCGTCTCGTCCCTCCCATACTGTCCCTTTCCATTTTGCCCCTTTCACAGTTCGCCCCTTACGCACTTTCATTTAAACAATATTTATTTCTCAAAATTATACATATGTACATTTGCAAATATATAAGTCTGACCGATTCAGAAACAAGCGGGACTTATATAAATCCGGCTGTATAACATTACAAATTATTATGCAAATATGAATAAAAATTATAGTATAATACATATAAACTGACAGGTAAAAGAAAGTTTTCACTTCAAAAATCGTTGTAGAAAAAAAGCAAAAAAGCTGGTACAGGTTTGAACCCCAGCAGCAAGCATTTGCCTAAATGCAACGTAATCATAACCACAACGCAGATTATCGAACGCAGCTTTCCAAATCGTGCATGCATAAAAACGTGCAAAACGCGATTTTGCGATATTGGTCCAAATGCACGTGCACGATTTCGGCATAACTACCGAAGTTGGACAGAACAGGCATTCAGTAAGGGAAAAACCATCAAAAGTATGCCAAGACTTACGCAAGCGCAACGAGATAGAGCGATCGGTATGTTCAATATGGGGGCTTCTCAACGACAGATAGCTAGAACCTTCAACTGCTCCCAGACCACCATCAGCAATTTGATAATCCGGCTCCAACAGACAGGACAGACCCAAGACCGACCAAGATCGGGAAGACCGAGGGTGACAACACCGGCCGACGACCGCTACATCCGGAGGATTCACCTTCGAAACAGTTGGGTGACGGAGGCGTCGACGGCAGCACTAGGTCATGTCATCAGCAGACGAAAAGTCCTTCGAAGATTTCGTTCAATTGGTATACGAGCCTACGGACCCTTCCGTGGAATGGCATTGACCCGTCTACATCGTCAACGCAGACTGCAATGGGCACGAACTGTACGTCGGTGGCGGCGACGTGACTGGGCGAGGGTGCTCTTTACAGATGAAAGTCGGTTCCGTCTGTTCAGGAACGATGGCAGGGTTCGAGTTTTTCGACGAAAGGGAGAGCGACTGGCGCCAAACTGCATCACAGAAGTTCATCCGTTTTGAGTTGGAGGCGTCATGGTATGGGGTGGCATTTGTGGCCAGATTACAACACGGCTGGTTATCATCTGAATGCTCAGCGATATATTGATGAAGTGTTGAGATCTGTTGTAGTGCCTTTTATTCAACAACGGCCAAGAGGATTAATATTACAACAAGACAACGCAAGGCCTCGTACTGCCAGAATTGTTCAAGACTATCTGAACAATACCAACGTCGAAGTATTGCACTGGCCACCTTGTTCCCCTGACATGAACCATATTGAACATCTCTTGGATCATCTTGATCGTCAGCTGAGACAACATGTACCGCCTCCAGTGAACCGACAGTAACTTGGACAGACTCTATTGAGCTTATGGAACAGGATTCCTGTTGACGTTATCCGCCGCCTGACGACGTCGACGTGTTTGCGTTATTGATGACGTTTTGCTTGACTACTGTCATGGAATAAACTCTTTATGCACTTTGGCAATGAACTCTGGTTTATATAAGTTTTTAATTTTGACCCCTTGACTCTTCCCTGGTGTATTGCGGAGAATTGAATATCGGTATTACAATGGGATAATTCAAGGGAATTAATTTCTGTTTATAAATCAATCACCATATATCTCACATATGCCTTTGTCTTTGGTGTGTGGTCAAATGAAGCCGGTGAAAACTTTCTTTTGCCTGTCAGTTTAGTATAGATGGTGAAAGAAAGAAGGTAGAGTTAGAGTAAAATAAAATGATAACGGAGCCTTACGCACTTTGTCCCTTCCTACTTCGCGCCTTCCTATTCAAATAATACAATATTATGCTTGTTCCGAGATTAATTCCGGTCCTGTGTCCATTTTAGTTCTATTGTTTTGGAAATTTTTATAAAGACTAGACTGAAATATTGTATTCTAAGGCAGTTCTTCTCAACCTCAGTGAGATCATTCCTCCTCGGAAGATCTTCCAAATCTACCTCTCCCCAAAATAAATAATTTTTGAAGGTGAAAAATATATTCAAAGAGTAATCATGAATGGATATAAAATCATACTACATTATGTTGAGAAGCACTGTATTAAATGCTTCAACTAATAACATTGAGCCATTATAAAACCAAACTAGGTCAAACTGCTTAATTAACAATTAATACCCTCCGTTTTGAATTAACCCTTTTAAAACGAATTCAGTATATACATGGATATGAATAGCATATACATGGATATGAATAGCATACTATATATGATATTTTCAGGTATAATTTACAACGTTTTTTTATAATTCATAATTTCTTTCATACTTTAAATTTTAGTGAAATTTTCGTACTCTACATAAAATGTCATTTATTCCGTTCCAGCTGTTGGGTAAAATTCCATTCTCCCGAAACGTGATATGGTTACATGGATATGTTGTATAATCTGGGTATCGTAATCTTATCTAGTAATAATCAAGTTTTTAGAGAAGAATTAAGATACAATGAGTATGTTTGTGTGAGAATAATTTGCACTAGAACTAAAATTAGGGCAGTGTTGATATAGCTAATTTCAAACTAAACATCATTATCGTAGGCCAGGGTTTTAAGATAATGACCGTAACTTTGAACTGATAATGTGTATAATTGGGCTTGTGATGATAACCATTACTAAAACAATACGTCATTAAAATTGCGGACTATAAGATACAAGTCATCATAGGTCTCAACCATTTTGTCCTCCGGACACTAGTAAAGGAAGAATCGTCATGAAGCCGTGGATTTTCATTTTTGTTAGCTTGGCTTTGGCAGGTGTTTTGGAAGCTGGCCCTAAGAAGAAAATGAAAAGAGGTGGATTTTCTGGTAAGTATTTATTTTAAGTATTTTTAGTTAGAGAGCAATAAGCAACCATTGCAAATCTCTTTTGAAAACAGCCATTACATTGCCGTTCTTCAGTTTGTTTTATTTCAGAGACATGCTAGTGGCTTATTTTACAAAATAATTAAATGAAAACCCCTCCAACCACATCCTCTGAAAACCGATACCTCCTCTAAACTGACTCATTTAAAAAGAATCACTATGAGATCTGTAAAAGAAACCCTCAATAAACCGGCATCCCCCGTTTTTTGCCTTCAGATCCACCTTACCACTTAACATCTGATTTAACCTATTTTAAGCATTTCTCAATGAGTATTTCTCTGTATCATTACTAGATCATCGTCTCTCGCAATTTATGTTAGCGCGGTTCCAAAAATAAATTTTGTAGGTATAGTTTTGTCAGATATAATACACTCTTCAGAAAAATTGGAAGCCAATTTAACTGCTTTATGGGAAAAAGTTAATAGAATGGGAGCAGGAGTACAGATTCATCTTCATGGAATGGGCGATGCTGAACCGGATATGGATAACCAAGCTGACGGAACGCACGTGCATTTACATATGCACATGGGACACGAAAACCGTCATGGTCATAATAAAGATGATCATGAAAATGGTAAATATGAAATATATTTATAAAATGTTCGCCTCCTTAATATTATCTAAAGTGGGTTGCGTTTTCTTAAAAAACGATTTTCTCAAATGACTATGGTTAAAAAGATTTAAGAGAAAACGATAGACCTAAAAGCAATCGCACTTTTTATTTGAGACCTTTTGTATATGGTGGCATTCGCCATATTATTATACCAATCATGGTATATAGGCCATCATGGAAATTTCTCTATATAATTTGTAGAATATCATTATGGTATTTGTCAAGTTGTTTCTAATACTGCTCTACCAGAAGAGGAACAACAACCTATTAGTGGAAATCTCTACTTCCGTCAGATGGTAATTGTCTTCTTTTCTTTTTTTTTATTGATCCTGATTTTTGAACAAAATAATATCGTCACAGATCATTTTGAGATTAATTAAAGACATGTCTTTAAACCAGTGTCTAGGTACATTGTTAAAATTATGTGATTTGTTGCTCTACTCGTATATGCAAGACGCACTTGCATACCTTTTCATTCGATACGATTTCTTAGAGAACGTTTAGGAAAGAAGGCTGAAGATTACTACATTCACATTTAATGACAGGAAATTCCCGCTTTGAAATCACCATCCTGTTCATGATAATTTACTATTATATATTATGTTTATCTATGTCATATTTATGTCAAGTGGTCGATTTCTGTGCTGAGAGGGTAGCTCATACATACCTAGTTTTGATGTTGATTCGTGTTAAAGTGATATATATTTAGGTCATCTGTCAGAGCCTGGTCTATCACTCGGCTATTGTTTTACCACTGGTTTCACTCGAATCGAATATTAGTGAAGTTTCACAACCAGTAGAAATGTAAAAGATGCTATAATTCTCAAGTTTAAACGTTTTTAATCGGCATTAATGAAATTTGTCACTGGCATACTCTACAGTGAGTCCCATGATTATTTCTGGAATCTCTATTCTATAAGACACCAGTTAATCATCGATGGCATAAGAGAAAACAATATTTTTGACATTTTCTACTATGGTATAATTATATGAAGAAGAAATCCTTTGAAATTTCTTCAATTTCCTGACTCGAGTATTGTCGACTGAAATAATGACCTTGAAATAAACATTTTAGCATGGTGAACATTTAGAAATCAAAGTTCATCTGGAAGGTTTTGATATGTCTGGGCAACATGCATCTCATCTTCATGGTCTGCATGTACACGAGTACGGTGATATGAGTGACAGCTGTAACTCCCTGGGTGGCCATTTCAACCCTGATAACAAGGAGCATGGTGGACCTCACAAGGAGACTAGGTTAGAGCCTTTATTATCAACTCAAACCAAATCGTGGTCTATTATTATGCACGGAATGACTCTTCTACCCTTTATGGTCTATTTTAAAAGGTATAAAGAACAACACTTAATTGCATAAATACACGAAAAGACACATCCAGAAAAGCATTGTATCAGATTGTTGTTCTCTGATAATCATCTATTTTGCGTTACATTTTAGACATGGTGGTGATTATGGTAATATAGAATGTGATGATAAGGGTGTAGTTCATAGAACTTTCATTGATGATTACACATCACTTGAAGACCGTTACAGTATTCTTGGTCGAAGTATTGTGGTAAGTAGCCTTGTTAAACTGTTTTTCTCGATATTGATGAGCTGTCATTTCATTGATCAAAATTATATGAGAAAGTATCTGAACCAGTCCCAGCTGACTGGTCATGTTTACAAAAATAACTTGAAAGTGACTCAGATAATCTAACGCTTCAGTTATAGATTGTCTATACTATTGGTTTTTGGAAATATTTTTGCATTTATGAAGGGCTTATTTTGACATCAAAAAGTGATCCTTATGTTAGACCGGGAACCATATCATAATGTTGAGACCAAAAGGTCTGTCGCTACCATTGAGGAGACCTATGATAACTGATGGACGTTGTCAACTTCTAATCAGAGACTTTCGATATTGCATCATAATTTAAAAAATCGTCATTTTTTCTGAGCAGGATTCTGCACTAGAACATTTAGCTATATGATAGATGTACATTGGTTACAAATCTCAGTTTTGGCCTTTTCAGATTCACGAAAATGCTGATGATCTTGGTTTAGAAGTCGATGCCTCTGGTGGAGCGGGAAAGAGATTAGCCTGTTGCGTCGTTGTTGGTTCTAAAGGCCTAGATTGGGATACAATCCACGGTGACCACGAGGACACAGTGGTTGTTGAAGAACACCGACACCAGGACATGTCTCATTCTCATCACAAAGATCATGGACATGATCATAGATCAAATGATGATACCCACCACAAATATAGTCATGATAATCATCACGGATATCATGCTGGCCACGAAAATCATAAAGGTCACGAGCACGAAAATCACCCGGATCACCCAGGTCACGATAATCACGAGGGACATTTCCATCCTGATGAACATAATCCTAACCACGAAGGTCATGCCGATCACGTCGGCCATGCACATGAAAGTCACGCCGATCATCCAGGTCATGAAAATCACGAGGGTCATGTACACCCGGAAGAACATGATCCCAACCACGAAGGTCGCGTCGGTCACGCACATGAAAATCATCCCGATCATCCAGGTCACGAACATCATATGGGTCATTTTCATCCAGATGAACCAGCTCTTGGTAAAAGGGGTAAAAAGCGAGGAGGGAAAGGTAAGAAGAAGGGAAGAAGAAATAAACAATCTTAAGAACAGTATTATCAAATCATATACTGCTTGTTATACTATTTAATCGATATAATGCCATAATAAATCTTGTAAGTTTCTGTATATGTTTTTTCGTGTAAATTTTCAATGTGCAGGAAGGAAGTTATTCCTCCTAAATCGTAATAAAGAATGTTAACTCAATTGTGTGTTTTATGCTAATTTACTTTCTGAGATTCAAGTATTGAGCTGAAAATATCTTAACTAAACTCACCGTTAGAAATCTTGACTATCGTGGTCATTATCAACAATAACAACCCCAAAACAGAACACAAGCTTAGTTTTTCTGATAACGTGATAAGAAATATATTTATGCTTTTTGCGGCCACTATATTAGTTATGTCAGAGTGGTTGTCAATAGCTCTTCAGGAACACCTGGTATCATTGTGGTACAGGGTTTACATGGCCTATTTTGTCTTCTTACCCTTACCCAGAATACAGCCCTAATTGCCTATAAAAAAGAAAAAATCTGCGACCCGACAAATGTTTAAATCCTTTATACATTGTAAAATCGTTATCGATTGTCTATATGAAACAAAACAATTTTACTCTCTTACAACAAATAGAAGTTGGCGTCGCAAATTGTCTCTTTAGAAACAGGAAACGAAAAACTCAGTTTTTAAACGATTCTCACCACATACCAACGTCTACAAAGTGTTATTCTACGATCTAACGGTGGTAAGTGTCCCTTATAATGACCGTTATCAGCTTCTATCTGCAACGGTGGTTTCAATCCAATCCATATGTGATATCACTCTTGCAAACACGCTGGGGTGCCCATTCATATTACAATTTTCTGCTCCCCAGGATACGATACCAGTTACATAGAATCTGCCATCCATTTTACATGCTAATGGTCCACCAGAATCGCCCTGAAATAGTAAAGTTAGAAATTCGGGAACGGGAGAATTGGCTGTGTGGAGAATAAAAAGTTAATAAATGTCAATTTAGACATTCGTATTGAACTTCAAGAATGTATTTGATAAAGAATGTAGTTTTAATTATGTGCAATTGGACTTACCGCACAAGGACCCCGTACTCCATCGCCAAAACAAATCATATCCTCTTGTAAAGATGTATTCCACATCTGACTGCATTCCTCATGATCAACTACATCGGCATGCACTTGTCGTAATACTTGGTCATCAGTATGATCTATGAAACAAAAGGAAAAGTATGAGAACTTGTATTAAATTGCAGAATAACAAGTGGCGCACCTTCTCTACTAGGATTCTGGAAGAAACCATCCAAAATAAGGACCAGCAATACAATATGACTAACACAAGAAAAATACCCAATAATACAAAAAGGGGTTGTTTCCCTTCAGTAACATCGAGTGTCTGCCATTCCAGTGGAAGCCATTACATGATAAGTCACAATGTTATTATTCTGTCATCTTTTTGAAGATAAACCTTTGGGGAAAACATGACATAAAATTGCAAGTGACAAAAAGCTCATAAGTGTTAGTTATATAGATAACGTGCTACGAAGAGTTCTGTATTTGAATGTTGAAAAATAAAACGTACTAAGTGTTGTTCCCCATCCTGCAACCCAACAGTCCCCTTTAGCTTCTATAGAGGCCATACTGAATCCTGATGCATCTTCTCCACCAACTCTCTCAGCTTGGGTCCTTCCCGACAAGCATATTGGTACTACACCCGAATCTTCGTTTAATTTCATCAAAGCTAAATCATGAGCATATCGGTTATATAGTGTTTGATTTTCGCGGTTAAATGTCGGATCGTTGGCTGTATATTCTGGAAACTGGAAAGAAAATGATTACGTGATTAAACGTCTTATATACACCAAGAGAAACATAACGGAGACCGCAATATTAAAACTCAAAATGATATCTCTGGAGGCTACAGAAGTAAAACTAATATTCCTGAACAAACTCCGTATCTCATGAGACGTAACATGTGCTATAATGTTTTCCATTTAGATGTATTAGCAAACCGTATTGACTGATTTAAGAGCTTCAAGTATAACTATCTTAATGATAGTGATTGTGAAAGACCATGAATGGACTGTTCTAGTCATCAGAAAGTCTACTTACAATAAATATATCTGAAACCGTAATATCTCTTTCTGAATCTTCATATTCTAATAAATCATACTCTCCAGTTCGTACTCGCCAATATTCCGCTTGAGGAAAACTACAATAGAACACCAGAAAAATATGCATAGCACCGATGAATATCTGAACTATCGTTTTTTCCGTATCTGATTACAGCAATCCTTTCAGTTTTTATATTTTAATTTTTAATTTCAAATTTGGCTTAATCTTATGAAACACATCTGAATATTATACGATAAAATTAAGACTCTATAATAACGGCATGTCTGTCGTGTATATCGCAAAAGATATGCACGAGATTAATGAAACATTAACCTTACTGTCTAAAACAATGAGCAGCTGTCAATATCCATCTACTAGCTATCACAGCCCCAGAACAGGTATGTGCTCCTAGTACTGATCGCAAAGCTACTATCCATGGCCAGGCGTTTCTATTTGCAATCGATCCTCCAACTACCCGTTTTCGTCGATGAATGGGAGAAGTAAATCCGCATTGTTCTAAAAATTTAAAATAATGGAATAGAATGTATTTCGGTGCATAATAAGATACATTATAACTATGACAAACTTCAATTGTGTTTTAATCAGTTTTGTCAGTTATATTAACTGGTTATTTGCGTCTTCAATTTGAAGATGCGCCTGTTCAGAGTGGGTTTTTCTGTATTACAGTTCAGGGTCAGTGTAGTGCAGGGCTAAATCTCGAAGTATTGTAATTAATTTTTTACTGAACTAAATCTTTTACTGTAATTTCGATGTTAATTTATTTGCTTCAGGAGTAAGAATTTATTCTAAAATCTCATTAGTTTCCGTTGATTTCCTGTTATGAATATTGGTTCAAGTTGATATCACGATATTAAGCATTAATATATCACGATATTTTTTAAGTTTGTTTTTTACCGGTTTTTGAAATAAAATTATGATCTAGAAATTTTAAATGTGACATAAAACAATAAATATCTCTAAAAACACACCAGTCTTGAATATCATGAAAAAACATCTGTTTCAAATATTAAGTTACTTGTTAAAATTATGTAGATGATCTTATCTCGACAAGACAATTTTTTTACGGTATATCATTACATACCATATATCACGATATGGCGATATTTCGGTATTTTTTAATCAGGCGATATTATGAACAATATAAATTCCTATACCGGTATTTATCGTGATACCGGTATATCGCCCAGCCCTATGGTAGGTCATTGTACCTTGTATGGTAAACGTTCAGGAATACAGAGGTCTTAAAACTTTCAAGAGGATATAACAGGTTTACATACACTGCGTCCATTACACAATTCAATAAGTCAAGAAAATTTTACCTTGTAAATGATCTGGATGAGGCATACTGGATGCAGGTTCATCAGCCATTGGAGAATCCGGTTCATCAATAGATGTATTTTCTAAAATAAATCAGAGATTAACATGAAATGAAATAATTTGTCATTTCGTACCATTGGTGAACGCATTTTGTTATGTTTATATTGTTTATATAAATTGAAAACATTTAATAACTGTATTGTAATTTTTGTCAGTGTTTTCACTCAAGATCTAATTTTCAAAACATTTTGTCATACCTTCTTGAACCGTAGGAGTATCATCAACGGATTCTGAAAAAAATATACGAGGATGCGTGTAAGATAGTTTATTTATAATTTACATTTGGTGAAAAGAAGTTCTTCATTTTTTTCCCCCTCAAGTCTATAGTATTCCTTTTAGGTTCGCCTTTTTATAAGCTTGAAAATGGTCTAAGATGCAGGTTATCATTGTATGACGTTCAAAATGACTGGTTGGTTACTTCGTAGCATTAACGAAGTGTGAACCTTTATTTGGTATATTTATTTCTTGATAAACTTTAACCTTTTACCTGAAATGTGGTCCGGAGTGCAGCATAAATGCCCCTCTGTTGGACATAACGTGATGTTGAATCTATGCCAATAAAACATTTCACATCCTTCAGCACAAACACCACCAAAATAATCACATAGAACCAGGTTGGCGTGGATATCAGTTCCTTAAATAGATAATAATAATATTATATTGGTGTTCAGAGAATATGAGCCACTTAGATCTGCATATTAGCTGGTTCCATTTTTAAAACGTTGTCAGAGGGATTTAGTTTTGAAGCTGAGAAATTACAAAAAAAAACAAATTTGACATAAGCAAAAATAAAATTTATTTCTTTGATTTAAATTATGAAAAGTACTGTTTTGTATTAACACGATAAACATTGGTCTGTATAATGTCATTGGGTTTTGATAGCGATAAGGATCTTTCAACGACTAAAGAAAAACACTTAGACTGTTAGTTATCAACGATGAGACTAGGTATCTAGATATAGGAGTATGGTAGTCGGTTGGGTGGATCAACAGAGGTCCAGTGTGCTACAGGCTGTGAACGTAAAAGATTCCACGACAGTTGGAAATCGAAAAAGAGTATGCTAAAGCCACTCTATTGGTAAAATGTCATCATTACACACAGCAAGGCGTTTCACTTCATTCTGTGAAATTGTCAAACTTTTCTGTTTGATGAATAACGCTTGGGTCGTTACTTGATAAAGATTGTGGTCTTCAAATTTTATATAACCTTTATACACAAAGTTTCCTTGGGATGAATCGTACCTCAGAAATAGTTTCAGCTGTTAGCAGCATTGATTTGTATCTAGTTACTGGATGTGGTTAATGTATTTCATCATCCAGTAAATAAAGAGGTTTATTTTCAAAAAGCTGGGCTATATATAGCCAAATAAAACAATAACTTCTCTTGTTATAATGATATCATTACGTTTAAAATGAACTATTTATATAATATATATTCTATATACAGTGATAAATGCCGTGTCTTATCATCATTAACAAGAATTCTCTTCTCAATTACAAGATAATTTAGGCGTTTTTACGACCCCAACATCATCTTTTAACCTTCAGAGCAATTTACGGAATTTGTTTTTTCACATTCCTCAATTGAAACTTTACCCATTACACACGTTAAATACACAATCAATGTAATAGTTGGCAACCAGTGACCAACTAACAACAATTTCAATTATGATTTCATGTAGTTTACATTTCCAAAAGAGTCCCTAGGATAGCTAGACCAGCAATTTATTTTTCCTTTATGTTAAGAATCATAAAACGAATACTGCAACATGGTTCGTGTGTTTTTAGAAATAATAGTTACAATCTCTCTGTACACTTTTCAGTTATTTAAGTAATATCGCTAATGTTATCGCCTTTCTAAGAAATTTTTCACTTGCAATATTCACATCCAAACAAACACTTGCCGTCTACAATGTAATTCTTGCTGGGAGTATTATAATGTACAATGGCTCGAAGTGAAAACCGCTACACTTGAAGCAGATTTACAACTATGGTCACAGTTGTACTATCAAAATATAAATCAGAAGATTTTCTGATAAATTAAAATCAGCTTTTGGTGGTAACACTCAAAATGGAATATAATTTCAAATAGTTTATATTGGTCAAATCATTATTAGTACAGTCATCAGGTGGTTAATACAAAAAAATAAAAACTTAATTGAGAGATTGGCAGTTAATCTTTTGAAAAACTGATCATATAAGGGTTCCCTATTCGTTTGGACTTCTCGTAACCCCTTTATCATTAAGACAGTGTTATCTCCTTCTACCAATCGTCAGTGACAGCCTCAAAGTAAACAGATAATATTGAATTAATTAAGAATAAATATAAACCAAAATCAGTGAAAAAATTGCCACATTTGATAGAAGTTTTACATTAAGCAAATGCTAATTTTATAATTCAGCATTCACAACATGTCCTATAAAGTTTTTTTTCTGGTACCTTGTTGATAACAGCTATCCAAATATAGTTTTTCTCCTGAAAAGGACCCGAGATGATTTTTAAGTATATCTGGCTGAATTCGATTCACAGTCAATTAGGCACAAATATTTGAAGCACAAGTCAGCTTGACACAGTAATTTAGGCACACTCTCACAGGCACAAAAGATTTAGGTTACAGCGTTTTTTAGGCACAGTGATCTGGGCACAGTTTCAGCATAATGTAAAACACATTTTTAACCTAAAATCTGTGTTCCTAAATGACTGCATGCCCTTTATATAATAAAAAGATTTTATTTTAGCCAACTAATATGGCTTCGCATTGTCACCAAATTGTATGAAATATGACCAAAAACAATTTCTAAAGATAAGAAACAATCTAAGTCTTTCGGAAATCAGTGAAAAACATTTCAATTTTGATTATTTTTCATATTGTATTTTTGATTGTATACAATGCATTTTCGGACTGTTTTTCCTATCTACAAAGTATTACATCAATTTCAATAACGAAATACTGTGAACATTTAGGCGAAATTTTTGTCAAATTGTTGATCAATCCTTAGTCCAAGGCTTCTAAAAACATTTCTAGGAAATCTTCATTGATATATTGCAGTAATAACAATAAAGGTACAACAATAATAACAACATTTTAATCGGTACAAATTACTCATGCATCAATAAAACTAAAAGTAAAATATCTGCAATAAATAGGAAAATTCAGCACAGTTCTTGCTCGATAAGAGAAAATTAAAATGTGCCCTTTCTCTAAGATTAAAGGATATATTTTTTAATTCAGAAAATATGAAACGCACGATATGTCATTCGACTTAATGCTGCAATTGATATGTATTTTCATTTTTTATCAAAATTCTATGATAATTTCTGACACAAATATAATAGTAGCCTAATAGCCTAAATAATAAAAGTATAGTATACCTAGTAGCAAAACTTAAGTGTTTTTGTCTGAGCACTATGAACACCTTATTAAACATATGAAATATTTATAACAATAGACAATATCTTACCAGATGTTGAAGACATCGAAATGCTAACCAAAAGTCCAAGAATTAGTATGGTGAACATGTTGTTAAAATAATGACTTCAAACACTTCAGCAACCGTGGTGGCACAAACAAGATATAGAAAGCTACTACTGGTAGACACGGTAAGGTACAGCAGTTAATTGGGGAAAGCGTGAGTAGGCGGAACAAAGCTAGATAAATGATCCGAGATTTGTCTGTATTTGGCTGTTAATTAAACGGTGATGAGAGTGTTACAAAACGTCATTTGACTATCAATTCTAATTAATCTACGCAGAATTAGCTTTAGAGGTAAAATTAATTTCATTAATAATAATAATAAAAATAATTTATTTATTAAAGTGTCACACAGCATAGAACATATAAATATACAAATATAACAAGATAAAAGTAATGCTGCCCAGCCAGGTTGGCTTATGAGACACTGGTCTAATTCAATTCCAATGAGTAAAAATCATATCAACAAAACATAAATATCTGATATATAAATATATAAACATATAAATATTAATAAGTTAAAACTTATTTAAAAGAAACATGTACAAGTTAAACTAGGGTAAAATATTGGGACCGAGACTGCAGAAAAAAAATAAGACATAAATGAATCAGTTAATGATAAAACGTTTTCGTCTATTAAAGGCGTTTCGGAGAAATGCTGAGGATTGAAAAATAATATTTTTGTTACACATTAAAAAATTATGCTGTTCTACATCTGTTAAGTAATTAAAATCTGGGTTTAAAACGTTGGCTCTAGCAAAAAGATCATACCTAAGGTCATCATAAAATGGACACGTTAAAAGAAAATGCTGTTCATCTTCAACCTTTCCAAGTTGACACATAGTGCAAAGTCTCAGGGGGTGGATGGATTGCCGAATCTACCGGTTTCAATTGCTAAGGGGAGACTACCACAGCGAAATACCACCATAACCTTACGGTTACATCTATGCACAGAATTGGTGACATAAGGTTCTGTATAAATAGAATATTTAAAGTGTCTATAGGTACGTAACTTGTTACAATTGACTAGATTTTTATCATCCCAAAGTTGCCTTTTCCAGTCAGATTGGTCATTGACCCACAATATTTCCCATAACGAGTTAATATTGACACAATTGTTATCATTAATTACATTAAGATAATTACCAAGTTTCAAAACTCTACTATCCCAAGAGGACCTCCTCCTCAGTGACCAGTTATGCACCGATTTGGATAGGGGATTCGGACTATGCTGTATTCTATTCCAAAGCCATCCCATATCACCCCTTGTTGCTAGATTTAAAGTGCGCTTAGGTACACCCAAGAAAAACTTGCAGGCTTTCTGGTATAAAGTATTGATGCACTGATGTTTGTTAATGCCCCATATTCCTGCCCCATACGTAAAAACGGGTTTAACAAGACAATCATACCATTTACAGTATACGGCATAGCTAAAACGACCAGCATTATTGAATTTTGTAATAACCGCACTTAAAGCCCTATTGGCAGACAAAGCTAGTTGTTTGGCACAAAAGGAGAAATCTAAAAACACATTTAACCATACACCAAGATATTCATAAGAGCTACTTATCTCTAAATCTAAGTCTCCACATTGGAAAACTATTTCACTTTTAGGGGTAGTTTGGTTTCTAAAATGAATGATTTTCGATTTATTTTGATTAACACAAAGTCTCCAAGTTTTACAGCAGCCATGGATGATATCTAATTGTTTCTGTAAACCATCAGCCGTAGGGGATACTAATACGATATCGTCAGCGTACAACAGCACCGATATCATGTTACCATCAATTTTGCCGCAGTTAAGATCGTTGATTTTAGTGACAAGGTCGTTCACGTATATCGCAAAAAGGGTAGGAGACAAGGTGCAACCCTGTTTCACTCCCAAGGAAACGGGGAACCTTGGCGTTTTGTGATTATTGATTTTGATCGAACAAGATGTATCACGATATAAAGCTGAAATGCTATCAATGAAACTTCCATGAATACCAATAGATTGAAGTTTATATTTTTATCATGTCAATAAAGCAGCTGTATGTGCCCTGTTTTGCAATTTTCCGATTTTAATAATTAGTTAACATATAGATATTATCTAAACAATTTCTTCCTTTTTGAAAACCATTTTGCTCTTCGGCCAAAACATTTTCACCTTCCATCCAACGCGTTAGACGTTGATTCAGGATAAGATAAAGGGTCCATGTCACTTCTGCCCCCATTTTTAGGAATAGGGGATATAACACCTTTTCTCCAAATTTGAGGAATCTGACCACTTCGAAAACAAAAGTTAAATAACTTATAGAGTATGTTTATACATGTTTCATTTCATTCACATTTTAAGACCAAAATTAACTAAGAAAAACATATTATGGTTCACTAGGATGAACTCGTTCCAAATAAAGAGATTATCATTATGATTTGGCCTTTTTCATTGATAAAATATGCGGATAGAAGTTTTTCTCACCTAGTAATTAATACGACATTATCTTGTCACAATCTGTTTGCTTGCGCATTGTTTCAATTTGTCGTAGTCGTGTAATTAATGACAACTTAAACAAATAAGGCAAAAATATTCTGATAAATATGGGTTAGATATTTTCACTAAATAAACCTCCAAAGTTCTGAAATGACGTAACGCTACACTAGGTCGAGGTTTTTTTCTGCTGTATATATACGACTAGTGACGATTACTACTGTCAAATAACTGCATCACATAGTTCATTTCACTCGAAACTATCGAGAAGATATTGAAATGTGGCATTAAAGTGGAATGGTGTTTCTATGTTCATTGAGCATCTAATTTCTAGATTCTTCTGTATCTATACTACTTCCAAGGCGATTAGTATTCAGACCGTGGTTAGCTAAATTACCTAGTGTGAAAATAATGGGTGTAATCTATGATTTTTCGGTTGTTCCAATTATTGGGTTTTCAAATTAATACATTATCGTTCTAGTGAAAACATTAACTATGTCGTGTTCAGCATCTACTATTTTTGCTGTTCACAATAACAATGTACATGGTATTTAATTATTTAGCTGTTTGTTGTCTCGTTCACTGATCGACCGATTCCACCAGACTGCTCCCAATGCCAAATTACTTCCTGTAACCTCTCCAATGATGGAAGAGATAATCTGGGGACTATCGACTATTTGTTGAATATGGAAACATTCTATATCTGTTAATGCCAGTAAAGTTTTTTCGTCTGGATTTAATCTCTCTAAAAGATTTTTATCATTGGATGAGGTATATTGGTTTGATTTACGATGTCACCAATTTTATATGAATTTATTTCATAGAAACTTATTGTACTTCCTTACAGATCATGACACTATATTAATTACATATCTATATCTATATAAATCCATTATTTCATTATTCTTTACTGAACATAACATAGAACGTCATGAACTTATATTAAACAAAATTCGCCCAGCTCTTACATACACATATTTAAGGGCTTTCTTTTATGTTAATTTAGTAAATTTTGTGAAGGTTTCCGATATCGGTTTACCCTTCCAATGATACTTTAAGACCAAGAACCGCATACACTTGTCAACTTGTTTTACCTCAATAGAGTTTGTGTTGCTTTTGATATCCTTGTATATGTTGCATGTGCAATTAGATTCTCGACTGTCGTATACTTGTAGTTCAATAGGAATGTCAAGTGTAAAAGCATTCGGTTACAGTTTGAACAAAGCTTATTTCTAAGGTTGGGACATCTCTATATACGGGAATCAAGCCAAGCACACCACGTATAAATGTATTGAGAATAACCTTGATATATTGAGAATATAAAAATTGGTTGATAAGAGGGGAATGTTCATGAAACTATAAGAGAATGATTGACGATAAGATTGAACTAGTTCAGGGTCACTACTGATTAACACATGTTATATAGACATTTACAATTCTATCTTTAGTACAAAAACAGGATCGTTTGAAAAAGGTACGTAATGGAATTAGAAAATGATTGTCTTCATTTATTTAAACTCCGATGGATTTCAGAATATTTTTCTAACCTTCAAAATCCTTATTCATTTTCAACCATGACAGTAATTCATATTTTCCTAATTAATCCTGACTTCTTACTGAATTACTTTGTTGAGTCTCTGGTATTCCAGAAAACCATTTCGTTCATCGGCCATATACACAAAAAAAGATTTTGTAACCTTTGGGTATCTCTTCTATTCATATAAATCTTGGCGTAAACACTTGTAAATATTCTTTCTGGTTTTTCAGAATTCAGAACAATGTTAATTCTTTTTCTGTTCGGGATCATTTTGGGTCAGGCAGCATCCTTGAAGGTGTCAATGAAAACTCACTGGAGTGGTGGCGTTACTGGAAGCTTCTGTATTCCGATTACTCAAGATCTACATGGGTGGAAAGCTCACTTAATATTTGACCACGTTATTAACAAATTAGACGTAAGTACATGTATAGGTCTTAGATCTGTGCTTTATAATTGAAACTCGTCCGTATTTTAGCTAGACCTCGACCGGGACACCAATCTTCACCAGGTGCATAACATTCATAACTTGATAATTGTTCTAGGTGTGGGTAGCCGATGTAGCAGAGAAAAAACAAGGTGGTAAAGAATTCGTATTAACAAATAAACCATTCAATAAAGAAGAACATGTAGGTGATAAACTATGTGTAGATTTTGTTGGTCACACAGATTCTGATATTAATCCTACAGCTACAGTATCTATCGAAGGAATGGATGGTAGTGGTTCTAGCTTCTCACATAGTAAGTCATAATCAACTGTCATTTCTGTTCGAAGTTCGTTATAACTGAATCTAGTACGCTATAATTTATGGTTCGGACCGAATCGTGTTCGTGGTGATGTTAAGAAGTATGGGCTCCAGCACCAACAAGAACCAGACGATATAGCTTTCATAAATGTACCTGTATGCCTTACTTCAGTAAAAAAAAATCGCAAAACGATTACACACTGAGGCGATTTGAGAGGTTGTAGAATTTAATGCTTCTAAATACAAAACTTTTTGCGAAAAAAAAATTTACCATCTATGCAATCTTCAAAATTTCAGAACCAGTAACAGCACATCCGGGAACAACCCAAGTCATTCCTATGCCAGGTTTGTAATTCTTCCGTAATCAAGAAACGGCACAAATGCTAGTCACATTATCCGGGAAAACTGAAAGGAAAACAATTTCTATGTGAAGTTTGAACCGTAAAAAGTAATATCCCTTTAAGTGTTACTAAAAGTTAAATACTGCACAGAGAGAGAGAATGAGAGAGAGGGGGGGAGGGGGGGGGGGGCTTGAGTTCTTAAAGCTACCGCTTTGTATTTTACAATGGAATTCTTTTCGCCAGGTGGTGACCGAGGATTGTACGATTATTCCAAACCACTTGCCAACTCAATTTTATTCTACAACGCTCAAAGGTCTGGTAAATTACCAGCTAACAACCCTATAAAATGGCGAGGTGATTCGGCTTTAAAAGATGGTAGTGATGTAGGTGTAGATCTTACTGGTGGATGGTATGATGGTAAGTAAGTCTGATTATAATACTATTATATAAGAGATCAGTATTACTAAGGATGTGGCTCGGCTATAAAAGATGGTAGTGATGTTGGTGTAGATCTTACTGGTAGATGGTATGATGGTAAGTAAGTCTGATTATAATACTATTATATAAGAGATCAGTATTACTAAGGATGTGGCTCGGCTATAAAAGATGGTAGTGATGTAGGTGTAGATCTTACTGGTGGATGGCATGATGGTAAGTCTGATTATAATACTATTTATAAGAGATCAGTATTACTAGGGATGTGGCTCAGCTATAAAAGATGGTAGTGATGTAGGTGTATATCTTACTGGTGGATGGTATGATGGTAAGTCTGATTATAATATTATTTTATAAGAGATCAGTATTACTAGGGATGTGGCTCAGCTATAAAAGATGGTAGTGATGTTGGTGTAGATCTTACTGGTGGATGGTATGATGGTAAGTAAGTCTGATTATAATACTATTTATAAGAGATCAGTATTACTAGGGATGTGGCTGAGGTATAAAAGATGGTAGTGATGTTGGTGTAGATCTTACTGGTGGGTGGTATGATGGTAAGTCTGATTATAATACTATTTATAAGAGATCAGTATTACTAGGGATGTGGCTCAGCTATAAAAGATGGTAGTGATGTAGGTGTATATCTTACTGGTGGATGGTATGATGGTAAGTCTGATTATAATATTATTATATAAGAGATCAGTATTACTAGGGATGTGGCTCAGCTATAAAAGATGGTAGTGATGGAGGTGTAGATCTTACTGGTGGATGGTATGATGGTAAGTCTGATTATAATACTATTTATAAGAGATCAGTATTACTAGGGATGTGGCTCAGCTATAAAAGATGGTAGTGATGGAGGTGTAGATCTTACTGGTGGATGGTATGATGGTAAGTCTGATTATAATATTATTATATAAGAGATCAGTATTACTAGGGATGTGGCTCAGCTATAAAAGATGGTAGTGATGGAGGTGTAGATCTTACTGGTGGATGGTATGATGGTAAGTCTGATTATAATACTATTTATAAGAGATCAGTATTACTAGGGATGTGGCTCAGCTATAAAAGATGGTAGTGATGGAGGTGTAGATCTTACTGGTGGATGGTATGATGGTAAGTCTGATTATAATACTATTTATAAGAGATCAGTATTACTAGGGATGTGGCTCAGCTATAAAAGATGGTAGTGATGTAGGTGTATATCTTACTGGTGGATGGTATGATGGTAAGTCTGATTATAATATTATTATATAAGAGATCAGTATTACTAGGGATGTGGCTCAGCTATAAAAGATGGTAGTGATGGAGGTGTAGATCTTACTGGTGGATGGTATGATGGTAAGTAAGTCTGATTATAATATTATTATATAAGAGATCAGTATTACTAGGGATGTGGCTCAGCTATAAAAGATGGTAGTGATGGAGGTGTAGATCTTACTGGTGGATGGTATGATGGTAAGGTTGATTATAATACTATTATTATTAGTATTACTAATTTTGAATAGATGAAATACCGTAAGTTGTTTTTAACTAAATTTTAACTATGTAAGGGATAAGTCAGTGCCTTTTACACTTAACTATCTTATGCCTATAATGATAAGTTCAATTCACTGACATCAGTTGTGGTTTATTTTAGCTGGTGATCACGTGAAATTCGGCTTACCAATGGCCGCTACAGCTCATTTGTTATTGTGGAGTTATATACAATGGCCGGATGCGTATTCATCAACCTCACTGACTGATAAATTCTTTGATATGATCAAATGGCCTTTAGACTACTTCCTGAAATGCTGGATTCCAAGCAAGAACGAGTTTTATATGCAGGTATGGTACAATAAATAGCATCATTAAATAGGGAATGAAAACTAATACATGAGGTCTAACCATTAATCAAAATTCACTATAGTCTAATATGAGAACACCTTAACCAATGACGCTCGTTAATTAAACAACACTTGCATGCTAAAGTGAATAGTGTGAGATACTATCATCACTTGAATCACAAATAACAGGAAATATATTTGATTTCTTAACTGTTTATTTTTTTTAACCTGATATTTAGCTAGTATATGGGATGAGGGCACGCTAACCGATGACGCTTGTTAATTAAAACAAAATACACTCCCATTGCCTACTAAAGTGAAGAGTGTGAGATACTATCTTCACTTTAAACACAAATAACAGGAAATATATTTGATGTGCTGATATTAACTTTTTTTCCCTGATAATAAGGTTGTCATATAATTACTTAAAACAAAAAGAATCGGCTTCTCTGTCGAATATGGAACCAAATTTGAAAACTTGTCAATCATCACAATTTATCAAAATTAAAACCTTACACAGTTAACTATAATTTGCGCTGATGTTAGCGAGATAGTTTAAAGTTTATACTATTGAGATCGTGAGCATATCTAATAGATATTCCACCCAAATCATGTTTGGAGCGATAAAAACATGTCCATGGGTAAAACGTGCAGATCAAGTGATGTTAAGATTTCCATTACAGACAACCAAACTATCCACCATACATATAAACCTATTCATTTTAACCAACATCCTAACAATAAACAATAAAACTCATCATTCAAATGTATCATTTGTCCATTTCGGCATGCCATATGTTGTGTGTTAAAACATCCACATGGTAGGTCTGAACTGGATATTTTACCGGATGACTTTTTCCATTACAGGTTGGCAATGGAGACGATGACCACCATTTCTGGGGTCGAGCAGAGGATATGAAAATGGCCAGACCATCTCTTAAAAATACAGCAAGTAAACCAGGAAGTGACGTAGCAGGGGAAACAGCCGCCGCCATGGCTGCAGGATCAATTGCTTTTAAGAAACGAGGTAATTCGATAGATGTAAATACACAAGTTTTTAATTATTCCCAGCAAAGTTCCCAAATGCAATTCTCAGGGCCAACCCCATAAAGTTTAAATAGATCTGTATTTTGTAATTCTTTAGATCATGCATATTCTACTAAACTTCTCACTGCTGCCAAATCTTTGTATGTTTTCGCCAAGACATATACAGGAAAATATTCTCAAAGTGTGCAAGGAGCTGGTCAATTCTATTCGTAAGTACCTTGAGTCATTTTTTGTAAATATCCTTCCTTACCATTATTCATCGATTCAAATATGCACTTAACTCAGCGCAGGGATATTGGATTAAGATTGTTGTTGTGGGGTATTGATCACCGAAAATGACGTCATTACCTGTAAAGGCTTGTTATCCCATGTTTCAGAAATTAGATAATAAGATAAAAAGAAAACAAACCAAATCGGATAATGCAGGGGATGAGTAATTTTTATATATCTATGTTTATATTGAGACCATCGACTCTGAAATAAGGTTCATGTATTTTTTCATAGTTCAAGTGGTTATACTGATGAACTCTGTGAAGCTGCCATTTGGTTATATAGAGCTACTAAAGACCAAAAATACCTTAACGATGCTAAAGGTTTTGTTGAAACTGCTTGGGCTTGGGCTCTTTCCTGGGATGATAAGAAGGTTGCCTGTCAGGTTAGTGTCCTCAAAAAAACTGTCCCTTAGCTAGAGAAATGTTGGATAATCGAGATCTAAAAGCTGAACCGACAGGACTGGTCATAATCCATGGGAGTAAATATTCTCATTAGTTAGGTACCAACTCCTTAAAACTGACTTTTTTAATTATTATCCATTAGTTTAAGCTCGACGTTGATTATTTCCTGTTCGATTTCTTCGTGTGATCAATATTAACATTGTCACTGCCAAATAAAATTACTTAATGTTGATTACGTTTCTTTTGTTTATTACCAAGTGTTTAAAAATATACTGATATTTTAAGTAATTGGTAATTGACCAATGTAGATGTAATTACAGTTAATGTTGTATCAAGAAACACAAGACGATATGGCTGGTAAAGCTGTGATTGGTTTCATGAAGAGTTGGTTACCGGGTGGTGGTATAACCTATACACCATGTGGTTTAGCTTGGAGAGATCAGTGGGGATCCACCAGATACGCTGGTATGAATATATTGAATACAGATAATATAACTTGATAATAAAGAGGGTAACTACTGAAAACTTATGTTCCAGTTTTAGAAAAAAAAATGAACTAATAACTTCAAAACTTTTGAATCTGCTATTATTTCATTAAAAATTATTTTTCAGCAAACACTGCTTTCTTGGCTCTGATGGCTGCTGACGCTGGTTTAGAGGCTACAAAATACAGAAAATGGGCTCAGAGTCAAATAAACTACATTCTTGGTCAAAATAAACAGTGCTTCAGCTACGTTATTGGATTTGGAAAGAAATTCCCGAGAAACCCTCACCATAGATCAGCGTAAATATTATTTATCATTTTCTGTATTAATTAACCGGGAAATTCTAATTGAACAACAGTTGTTGTTGTTTGTACAAGCGACAAAACTAATATTTCCGTATCAAGGTTTATATGTAAAGTAGCAACCTAAAAAAGGGCACACGAATATGGTGTGTCCGCTCTATCGTAATTGAAATTTGTCATTTCTTTGTAGATCCTGTCCAATGATTCCTGCGCCGTGTTCAGAAGCTAATCTACATTCCTCTGGTCCCAGTCCACACATTTTGGTGGGTGCGTTGGTTGGTGGTCCAGATGCTAAAGGCGCTTATACTGATAAACGTGAAGATTATGTTCATAATGAAGTTGCCTGTGACTATAACTCTGGCTTCCACTCAGCACTAGCAGGTAAATTCTTTATTTTAGGTAGACATAGTAGGCGTTCATTTCCATTTACAACAACTCTTCAACACATTTCAGTTGGTCCAATATTCGTATTCATTTTGTTTTACTACCTTACCCAACTTCACAGCAATCATGTTAAAACTATTATTATAACAAAAAATTACTACCACATTAACCAATAAACCCCTCTTAAACTCTGCATTTTTGTTTCAGGTCTTATTCACCTAACTCATACTAAATCCTTACCAAGAGCAGATACACCAAAATGTCCCTGTTCAGTTCATTAAAGATGTAAAATATCACTGATTGATTTTTTACCTGTCCAGACGAAGCTATTGAATGAAATATGAAATATTTCTACAGATTATTGAAAGATGAAGACGATTTGCACAGGACTAATTCCACAATAGAATTCATGTCCACATCCATTCAACATTCCATAACTTCTTCCATGCCACTATATTACTTGTGTTAAACAATAGAGAGTTCTTGCTGTACTATAGAACTAATGAAAGAAGATCATCTTAAGATGACCTTAATGAAACAACCAAAATGAGAAATTTTATGGGGTTATTTACAACAAAAAATGTATGACCTTTTAGAATTTGGTTGGTTTGATTAACTGTTATTGTTCAACATTTTATTTTTCCTTCTAATGGATTTTACTTAACCTCATCAGCAATACTTAGAAGTCTTGAAAGACAGGAAAAGTCATTGGGACTAAATAAGTTTGAGAGGATGAACTTCATATGCTTAATTGATAATGATGACAAGACTTGAAGACTAATGAGGGCCTTACCATGTATGTTAGTGATAAGTGTAGTGCGAGGGGATGTTTTTATGTTTGATAATTGACGTGTAGCAATCAGCTCTGAATAAATATTAGCTCGTATAAGGCTGGGACTAAATGCCTAGCAGTGTTTGTCTGGTGATAGTTTCTTTTACCATCTACCGACGATGAGTATTGGAAACTCCGATAGCTCGTCGATTGAACATACCCATACGGCAGTAGCAGGCATTCAAGGTTCTCTAGGGCTTGTATCTGCTTTAAATAATATTGTAACAACAGTTGCTTTGCTTAGGACAGAAAACATCAAACCAAACTTAAAAATATGTTTAATAGTTCTACCAGTAATGGATGCATTATCGGGGATAGCCTTTATTTACCACTCGTTTGCTCTGTACTTTATATATTTTAACAAACAGGAGTGTACAATTCGTTATTTCTTAATGACCATCTTCAGTGCTTTATCTATAATGACAGTTTTAACAATGACACTAGAACGACTTTTTTCTGCTTTTATGCCACTGCGGTACGAGATAATTATTACTAACACAAAAATAGTGGTTTACCTGATTTTTATAAGTGTAAATGCAGTGTGGGTCTCGAATTTGAGCTTTTTCTATCAGAACAATGATTTTCAGGTATGTAGCTACATGGATTTGGCTTCTGGAGATACTTTCCTAATACATGGTTTACCAACTAATACAGTATTACTATTGGCATTTATTGGTAATCTGGCATTATATTGTGCAGCTCGCTCACAAATCAAAGCAATAGTACCGCTGTCAGCTATCCACACGGATTCACACGTGAAAAGTAAGATGAATTTAAAGGCCACACTAACGACGATATCGGTGGTTTTGCCATTTCTAATTAGTTATTTACCTCTAGGTATATTCTGTATTTATATGTACCTTCATCCAGAAGATAGAACTGTGTTACGCTCGTATCGTTTTTTGAACAGAGTTTTTTCATTAACCATTATTAATGGTATTATAAATCCTTTAGTTTATTCTTGGAGACTTCCAGAATTACGAATGTCATTGAAACGTCTATTTAAAAGACATTAAATAGTTTGTCAAATGAGTCATAAATGTCAATTATATTTCTGATTTTTAAATCCAGATTTAACTCTTCTTTGAGACCATAATGTAGATAAAAAAGAAAACTATTTAGTGTTTTTAATTGGCGAATTAGTAGTATTAAGTATTTAACAAACTCATTATGTCTTAATAGGGATAAATCATTATGTGATCTCTTACTGTTTGTCGCTATTAATTAAACTATTGTTCATAGAAACTATAGTTTTAACGTTTTCTTTCGACTATGATGCAATGTCAATCGGAAACGTTATAATAATAATAACTTTATCTTGCCAACCCATTTAGACAGAAGTCTAATTTTCAATAGGTCCCACTAAACTACAAATTATATACAATTCAACATGGATGTGGTGAAAAATATAAAAATGTAACCACTGTGTTTCTTATATGGACTCACTCCACTAATTCATTTGCCATCTCTTCCCATGTTAAAACACGAAATTCAACCTTCTAGAACTCTTTCCAGAAATCTCGTTGAAAGCTTTCCAATATGTCGAATGAAAGCCTGACCAATTCTCAATGTCTCCTAAAAAATTCATTATATGATGACCATGAAAATTTTGAGCTACTAAAATTGAAAGTAGACTACTACTGGTTATACTCAGCCGCTAGAGTTTGGCACTTCACAAAACGACTATTTTTAGAATTAGCCTTCCGCCTTTAGGTCATCATCTCACCAAATCTGAAAGATAATGCAATTTCAGACATCAAATTCCAAATCTAGACCAAATTTTACCCAATAATAGGCATGCAAAAACCCCAAAAGGGAGAGAGAAAGACGATTTCTAAAAATAGCCTGGACTACATTCCTTTGCATAAAATGTTTTAGTGGAGTGAGTCCATATGATATATATGATGGTATAAGTTTTTTAAGTGAAATGAAATGGAGAGAAAAACAAAAGGAATGGTTATAAATTAATCAGTATTGTCAGTAAGAACAAACTTCTTCAGTTCTTGTTTAAATGTATATAAGGAAGGATTATGTTTTACAGTTTGTGGTAATGAATTCCAAAGTAAAGAAGCTGTATATTGAAATGTTCTCATCATAGCAGTTTTATTACATTTCGCTATGTCTAAAGTTCGGTTTGTTTCTGATCTCAGTATCATACTCGTTTCCGTTAATTTTGATATTTCCGTAAATTTATTGTATAAATATTCAGGGTGTCCAGTTTGAAATATTTTGAATGTCATTATGCCACAATTATATCTAATACGTTGATACAGTGTCAACCAATTTAAAATTTTGAATAATGGTGCCGAAGGTGAATCATGTTTTTCATATAATATACTCCTTGCAGCGCGTTTTTGTAATTTGTATAAAACCTCTAATTTACTTTTATTGGAATTACCCCAAATTGTAGAACAATAATTAAAAAATGGTAAAATATAACTATTATAAAACATTTTACGTAAGGTTAATGGAATGCATTTTTTAATTTGACTGAGAAGGAAAATTTTAGAACTTATATTTTTTGACAGTTTTTTAATTTGGAAATCCCATTCAAGATGGTGGTCAATAGCAAGGCCTAATAATACAGTATAGGTTACATTCTCTACAGGTATATTATTTACGGTCAATGCTATTTGGTTATTTGTTGTTTGCAGATTGGAAACAATTAACATAGCTTTGGTTTTTGTAGCATTTATAACCATTCCATTATCCACACACCAGGTTTTAAGGGTGGAATTAATTTAAGTTATGGTGAGAAAAGTGTACTGTACTGTCATTTGTTTCTTTGTTTCATTTACATTGTAACCATGCCAAATGAATAGTAAACAGAAACAGTACATTAAATCACTGGAATAAATTGATGTGTATAAAATCAAAGTAAACTTGCTTTAGATTACATTCTCAATCAATCGTTTAGTATTCTAACGTTTAACTAGCGGTTTACCTTCATTGAAATGATCCCGTTGTAGCGTAAATAGCTAGATACTAAATGGCAAATAGGTAGATTTTACAGAAGAGAATGATATTGGAATGTGTAGGGAAGAAGACCTTCTCCATCAGGAACATCGCCTTTGCTTGCGAAATCTGATGGGCAAAACTATACTAGGATATGTTCGTGGGCCACAAGATTAACGTAAAACATTTTTATTTCAACTGTGCTTATCATTCGTCAATTGCCAATTCTAAAAGAAGCATTGGTATCAAGTGAAAATATACACAGCCGATAATTTCAGAAAATGTGGTACCAGAGTACATAAAGTGTTAATTGAATATTTCATTTATAGCATTTATATCAAAATAATGTGAACTAATAGAGATATGTCCATCAGCGATCCCTCAATCATCAAGTGTAACAGTTTTCAAAATATATGAATAAGCATACGTCGACATAATTAATATAAATTACAAACCTCGACATCAATTTTTACTATCCAGTGTTATATTCGACTATTATTAGAGTACTTCTTTTGTGATCATGAGCAGCGAAAACTCGACTGTTTGTCTTCTGTGTGCCCTTTTGGATAGCAATCATCCATCAGTAATAGCTATTCAGGGCATACTTGGACTCCTGTCTTCTATAAATAACATTGTTGCAGTGATTGCTTTGGCGAAGACAGAAAACATCAAACCAAACTTAAAAATATGTTTAATAGTTCTCACAATAATGGATGCTTTATCTGGGATAGCCTTTATTTACCATTCGTTTGCTCTGTACTATATATATTATAATAAACTAGAGTGTACTATTCGTTATTTCTTAGTGACCATCCTCAGTGCTTTATCTATGATGACAGTTTTAGCAATGACACTAGAACGACTTATTGGAGTTTTTCTACCTTTACGTTATAACCAAATTCTCACTAGAACAAAATTAGTTGTCTTCATGGTTTTCGAGGGTTTTTTTGCAATGATGCTTGCGATATTGAGTCTCTTTTACGAGAGTAACGAGTTTGTGTTTTGTAGTTACTTGAATATTAATTCGTCTGAAACATATCTTATACATGGCATACCAATAATGTCAACCTTGGTGTTTACATGTATAGGTAATCTGATGATATATTGTGCTGCGCGGTCACATATCAAAGCAATAGTCCGCCCAACAGCGAATGAAGAGAACACGTCCATGGAAATTAAAATGAACTTAAAGGCTTCTTTGACAACATTAGCAGTCGTTGTACCCTTTCAAATTAGTTATTTACCTCTAGGTATATTCTGTATTTATATGTACCTTTATCCAGAAGATAGAACTGTGCTTAGCTCGTATCATTTTTTGAATGGAATTTTTTCATTAACCATTATTAATGGTATTATAAATCCTTTAGTTTATTCTTGGAGACTTCCAGAATTACGAATGTCATTGAAACGTCTAGTCAAAAGGCAATAACACTTTGTAAGTGAAGTATATTCTTTTTAGTCTCTATTCACGCCTGTCAATGAACACTTTTTAACTCTCTGATTGTTTTGTTTTAGTTTAAAGAATTTTTAGAAAAAGTTTTTAGAATTACCTACTGATTATTACGGGGAATTGAGGTTGGAGTTTAACTCAGTTGATGACAATTTATAACGATATTGTGTCTAATAACAATTCAGTTGGTAAAGTCGACCCATCTTTCTTGAATCTGGCTTCTCCTTCTAGCCTTATCTCAAAACTATATTTGGGAAATTATTAAAGATCGCCAAAACTGACAAAAAAAACATTTAGTTGCAAATTGCTTTACACTTTCTGTACCATTCTTCATAGATTGACTGGCTCGGATCATGATCGATTATATTGCTATCTGTAGTAGGTTCTGTCCTATAATGATCTGTATGTATTTGACAATTAATATAAGATTGGCACCTATTTAAACAACCATTATGTTTAAAATCCATTACAGCTAAAATGACTAGAAATAAATTGTTTCTATTTATATATTTTCTGTTTTAATCTTTTCCATTTGTTTTTATTGATTTTGTTATTTTGTAAGCGAATTATCTATTGTTTTGTCCACTAACATTGTGAGCTTAGTGGTCGGCAGATCAATACATTTAGTCATTTAGAAAGTTAAAAATGTTATTCGGTGCTCATAACAAAGCATTTTTGGATAATTTGATTAAAAGCAACCTTATTGTCCAATGTTTTGCTCTTTGGTAGCATTTAAGTCCATGGGATTCTGAAACGTCTTCTACAAAGGAGTCTCAACTCGTGCCTACAAAATGTGGTCAATTAAGTCAGCATACATTTTAATGTTGAAAACGTTAGAGCATAGGAAATAATATGGTTTATTAAGAACTACAAGATGATCCACTAGTCTGTTCTGGATGTTTCTTTTTAATAACCAGACTCTTTAAACCTGTGAAAAAAATTACCACATTCAAGTAAAATATTCCTTAAATGCATAGTTCATTATATTTTTGAATTGATTGTTACAAAATAACAATTTGAACATTTAGTACAGTAATGTTACCTATATTCGTGCATATAAGGATTCAACATCAAATTTTGTCATAATTAAAAAACCAAATATTTTGTTCATGTCTTAGATGTTTCCTCAGATATAAAATCTATTAAATATTATTATTAATATTATAAAATAATTAAAATTGGTTTGTTGCGATTTTTTTTATGAATCCCTAACTTTGACCCATATTTCATGAGTAACCAACTCGACAACAGCTGCAAAATGCGTCACCTATTTTCGTGTACGATGTTCGATCTATAAATAAGTCGAGAAAAACACGTTGTTTGTTAGTTCTTTGGCATGAATTTATGGTCACAGGTTATCGGAAAATAAAAAAATCAAGGCTTCAATGTCTTTGCAAAGTAAAAGTGGTCCTAATATTTCGCTCAAAAATTTTCCAAATATTCATTCCATCCATACAACATACCTGCTACAGCTGATTGAAAACCTGCATTATAATCTGTAGCTACTTCATTGTTGATGTAATTTTGTCTGGAATCTTGATAACTACCATCAGAATCAGGACCACCAACTAAAGCACCATGTAATGTATGAACATTCGGTTGTTTACTGGACATTACAAATGGTCCACAAGGTGCTGGTGGTAAGGGGCAAGATCTAGAAATATAAACAATGGAAAATGATGCGATTATGTAGTTTTTGAGATATTTAAAGTGGTTTGTATTTAACTTGTTAAATAGTTATTAATTGTGCTCAACTATTTTCAACAATTTGTTTCGAGAACGTGGTCTAAGAATAATAATTTCATAATAATTCTATTATTGCGATACATCTGATACATTGAACAATGAACAATAACGAAAAGTATATTGTATATGAAGATACTTACGCTCCTCGATGATGTGGAGAATGTGGGTAATTCTTTCCATAACCAATTACAAAACTAAAGCCAGTATCTCCTAAAGCATAGTGAATTTGACTCATCGCCCATTTTCTATATTCTTCAGGATGTAAACCTTCATCAGCAGCCATCAAGGCTATTAACGCCATATTAGCTGTAATATGTTACAAAATTTTACAAACAATATGAAAACCATTTCTCTGACAAATGTTACTTTCCGATTTTGTGGAAGCGATTGGTGAGCCCTATAACCAGGATTTTACTTATCAACCTCGAGTGTTGCATTTTCATATAAATCTTTAAGATTTCAAGATCGTATTTATACAAGTTAAGAAGTAAAACTCACATTGTTACGTCTTTTAAATAATGACTTACAAGAATATCTGAGGGATCCCCATTGTAATCTCCATGCTAAACCTTTTGGAGTATACTTGATAGTTCCACCTGGCATCCAATATTTGAACGTCTCTTCTACAGCTTGTTTATAAATATCTTTCTTGGTAAACTTGTACAGCAAGAGCTAGAAATCAGAACAGAAAGGCAACAAATTTCGTATGTATCATCCAATACCTTCTTCTTTTACCGCTGTTCTGAACCTGTCATATCCGGTTTGGTCTCTTTAAGCATAACCATCAACATATATTTGGACCATCAGCCTAGTCGGGAGGTCACGGAGAGTCGGGGTGCCATCTGTTATTTCGAAAGGTGAACATGCTTCACCCCGATATCGATGTGGTTGGTATCGATGTTTCTTTTTCAATATGTATGGAGTTAGCTTCTGTTAGCTAAGTAATTTTAGCTAACCTGGTTGGCTGCTTGTGTGTCATCCCATGACATTCCCCAAGCTGGTCCAGGCTGAAACCATTTCTCAGCTTCAGTTAAATATTTAGCTTCTTTAGTAACCCTATACATCCACAACGATGACCAACACATTTCATCAGTTATATTGGTTGATCTAAATGAAGTAAAATATAGTACAATAAAAGCAGCAATAACACATTTTAAGGAACTTGGTTTTCCAAAACCTTCAACATATCTGCGAATAACACGTCTGTCTTATGCATTTTTCCGCTGAAGACAATACGACGCCAGACATAGGCTACAATTGTAGAAAATGATCTCAGAGACTCGTCTACGATACAAATTTGGATTCGGCAAACGGTTCATTTATGACTTACAGGATGAAATAGACACTAAGCTAGTAAAATAATAAAATAGAAAATCTTAAACACATACTTGTAATAGCCGGCTGCAGCTGGTACACTGCTCGAATACACACCTTTATGGGTCATAGCAAAATCATACAATTCCTTAGCATGTTGCAGTAACTTTGCTGCATATTTTGGATCTAAATTATATATATACTTAACATTAAGGCTTTGTTGCTTAATGTTTTAACATTAATAGCATATGATATTTCTGTATAATTATATTAGTATAGAGTGTTCCGTTGTATAACAGCTTTAAAGGACCGAGGGACAACAATGAATGTTGTAAAGCGCACGTTAAATAAACGCACCTAGTTATTGAATTAACATACCCTTTTCCTTGAATGCTAGGTGGCCCGCTGCAAAGGCAGCACTAGTTGCTCCAGCTACATCAGTTCCAGGTTTGCTAGCAGTTATTTTATATGCTGGTCTAGCCATTTTTAAACTTTCAGGTCGTCCCCAAAAACTATGATCAGCACTAGCGTCGCCAACCTTTTAAATATACAAATGCTCTATTGCGATTTGATTTTCTAGCAAAGTAAAAACTTGACCTTGGAGGTTATTTAGGTGATGGGAAAAATTGTTGTGAATCACACAGAAAAAAATCCATACTATTTTTCAATCTATTTATCCTGGTATATAATTCGTACACGGATTATCAGCAATAAAGTTGCTGATGATGATGGCCTTTTCGTTTAGAGAAATTAATCTTAGAACAATACCTGGACGTAGAGCTCGTTTTTACCAGTATGGGATTTAAGGAAATAATCTAGTGGCCATTTAATACTTTCATACAGCCATTTCAACTGACCGCTCTTGACATATGCGTCTTTCCATTCCAATAAACCCCATGTTAAAATAGCAGAGGAATAGGCCATTGGAAAACCAAATTTGACATGATCACCAGCTGAAGAAACAAGTACTAACTCTTCAGGAAAAACGAATTTTAAGACAAAACGTTTGAATCTTGGAATTACACTGCTCTTCCAAGGCATAAAAATTAATATTATATCTTGTGAAGTACCATCCACTGGCAAGATCTACACCTACCTCACTACCATCTTTTATAGCTGAGCCACATCCCTAGTAATACTGATCTCTTATAAATAGTATTATAATAAGACTTACCATCATACCATCCACCAGTAAGATCTACACCTACATCACTACCATCTTTTATAGCTGAGCCACATCCCTAGTAATACTGATCTCTTATAAATAGAATTAAAATCAGACTTACTCACCATCATGCCATCCACCAGTAAGATCTACACCAACATCACTACCATCTTTTATAGCAAGACCACATCCCTAGTAATACTGATCTCTTATATAATAATATTATAATCAGACTTACTTACCATCATACCATCCACCAGTAAGATATACACCTACATCACTACCATCTTTTATAGCTGAGCCACATCCCTAGTAATACTGATCTCTTATAAATAGAATTAAAATCAGACTTACTCACCATCATGCCGTCTACCAGTAAGGTCTACACCTACATCACTACCATCTTTTATAGCTGAGCCACATCCCTAGTAATACTGATCTCTTATAAATAGAATTAAAATCAGACTTACTCACCATCATGCCGTCTACCAGTAAGATCTACACCTACATCACTACCATCTTTTATAGCTGAGCCACATCCCTAGTAATACTGATCTCTTATAAATAGAATTAAAATCAGACTTACTTACCATCATGCCGTCTACCAGTAAGATCTACACCTACATCACAACCATCTTTTATAGCTGAGCCACATCCCTAGTAATACCGATCTCTTATATAATAGTATTATAATCAGACGTACTTACCATCATACCATCCACCAGTAAGATATACACCTACCTCAGTACCATCTTTTATAGCTGAAACACATCCCTAGTAATAATGATCTCTTATAAAATAATATTATAATCAGACTTACCATCATACCGTCTACCAGTAAGATCTACACCTACATCACTACCATCTTTTATAGCTGAGCCACATCCCTAGTAATACTGATCTCTTATAAATAGAATTAAAATCAGACTTATTCACCATCATGCCGTCTACCAGTAAGATCTACACCTACATCACTACCATCTTTTATAGCTGAGCCACATCCCTAGTAATACCGATCTCTTATATAATAGTATTATAATCAGACGTACTTACCATCATACCATCCACCAGTAAGATATACACCTACCTCAGTACCATCTTTTATAGCTGAAACACATCCCTAGTAATAATGATCTCTTATAAAATAATATTATAATCAGACTTACCATCATACCGTCTACCGGTAAGATCTACACCTACATCACTACCATCTTTTATAGCTGAATCACCTCCCTAGTAATACTGATCTCTTATAAAATAATATTATAATCAGACTTACCATCGTACCATCCACCAGTAAGATCTACACCGACATCACTACCATCTTTTATAGCTGAATCACCTCCCTAGTAATACTGATCTCTTATAAAATAATATTATAATCAGACTTACCATCGTACCATCCACCAGTAAGATCTACACCGACATCACTACCATCTTTTAAAGCCGAATCACCTCGCCATGGTATTCTGTTATTAGCAGGAAGTTTCCCTGATCTCTGAGTCTCGTAAAATAGAATTGATTTATACAATACATCATCGTAGTTATATTTGGTACAATCATCTGAAACGAGAATTTTTTTTGTAAAATATTTTTTTATAATTAAAAACGTCTTAAATTACACCTGAAAATATTTCTAAAATATGCTATTTATATCTCTTCTTGATCAAACAGAATTTGTTTTTAAAGGGTAAATTAAAAACGGATTAAGTGCTAATTGTCTTTTAAACCTAGTTTTGGTGTTTGGCTTAATAATGGCTCGATAATATTCGTTGAAACCTTAAGAATAAGAAGGAGACGTATTTCTCTTTCACATTTTGCTTAAATCCGTATAAAAGTTTTCTTCCACGTACCAGAAATCATAACGATCTTGAAAACCTTACACCTTTCTCTAGATTTTGGTGTATAGTTTTCACAAAATTTAGCAAAAAACATTTTTGACCTACAAAAAAGCGGAATGTCCCTTTGCGAATCTGGTGTATATACAGTTGCTACAACCAGTTGTTTAAGCTTATAATGTGGACATCTTACAGTTCGGTGAACGTTATACAAAATACAAATGTCTCAAGGATTCTACTTACGGTTGGGCAATGATGGAACCTTTCGCTTGTCTATACCTAGATTAGTGAAGATACCAACAGCAGCTGGAGCTTTTCCACCACTAACAGAAGCATAATTAGCAAAGAATCTGACTTTAGCTGATTGACCAGCAGTCACAAATTCTCTGTCTGGTTTACTGACTACAACCCATTTTTTACCATCAGATGATTTAGAATGTACATCAGCAGTCCACAGCTAAAACCGAAAACAGTTCAGTCATAGCCAAACTATTACTGATTTCGTTACGCCAATGTGATATTTTGAAGATTGTATTTTGCGAATTTCGACATTGTTTGTAAGAAAACGAATAAAAGTGTTATTTCAGACTTGTTCGGGTGCTTCAAATTAAATATCTTTCACAATCCTGTAATTTCGGATATATTGTCTAACGGGATATATCATAATTGTTAACACATTTCTAAATATGTGATAATTTTGGTTCATTAGAATCTGATTGTATTTTTCTGGTAAAGAAGATTTCAAAACGCTTAAACCCATGTTCATGTAGCATTGACTAGATTTTGAACACGACTTACATCCATTTTAGAAACCGGTCTGTCAAATGTAATTGCAACCATCCAACCTTCAACGTTTTCGTTTACAGCAAATGTAAATTCACCTTCAAATCTTGCCCCCCAGTCGTTATAGACCTTTAAAGTTCCCGGTATACCACCATTAGGAAGATTAGCTGAAATAAATTGCAATCATTAATGACCAAACACCTTACTTTTCGACAATGTACAAGCGGCTGTCTTGTTTGGTTAGCATATTGTATATAAAGTATTACTTACATGGTAGAGTCATCCCTTGAGTGGTTGGGTGAGTTGTAGGCTTCATTGCTTTAAAATGGATACAAAAAAAACATGTTAAAAGCAATATTTCAAACTAACACTTTGGAGCGAGCTGTCTTCTTGTGGTTAGTTGCTGTGTTTTCGCTGTCGTAGTACAGTACCTTTCATAAGTCATATCACATTTTTGAAACATCAGCGTACGAAATAGATAGAAAGAAAGAAGTAGCCATTTTCACATAAATAAAGACCTATGAGTATCAAACTTTGTACCATCTTTTTCGATTTATTCGTACCTATATACATCTGTGTCGTACTGGATGGGGAAAGAGATCTAATTTGTGAACGAGTCCATACTTCCCAACTCAGATCAAGACTACAAACCATGCATGTTCATATTGCAGGCGTGGTAGTAAAACCACTTACTAGTTCCGGAATAACCACCAGGTGTTGTAGGAAATGTGATCTTCCCACCCTTACTGTCCATGCCTTCAATATACGCCCGAGCTTTAGGATTGATATCACTACTAGTGTGACCAACAAACTCCACACAAATCTGATCACCAACATGTTCTTCTGCATTCCATGGTTTGTTTGTTAAGATAAATTCTTTTTTATCAGCGGAGGTGTGGGAAAGGGTGGCAGTCCATACCTATCAAAACCATTAGCTCAATATAATAATATACTAACAAATTATTATAGAAAGATGCTAAAATGCCACAAAGTCGTAAAGTTCTGATATATTTCCCCCTGTTTTTTTTTCTGTCTTGCAGGCCGCAGCCTCCACAGAACAGATTGCATAATATTGGATTAATGAAAAACAGTTTTAACCATGGACGCTTCTTGAAAACTATTTGAATAAAAATTTCTTAATGGATGAAAGCAGGTTAAATTACGCCTTAATAACATTGTCTACTCAAAAACTACAATGAATTTTTCAATCCACAGACTTACATCTAAACTTTCAACACTCTTATCAAAAACCAGATGAGCTTTCCAGGAATGGAGTTCTTTAACCACATCAATACAGAATTTACCATTAAAACCACCATTCCAGTGACTTTTAATATTAATCTCTGTACAATTTACAGTATTTAATAATACTAGAACTGTCAGCAGACACAGATTCATCTAAATAAAAACCACAATGTGCACATTAATTAATGACTTGAAAGGCGAATTGTGTAGGAGTGTAATGTTCTTTTACGACATAAACGTATAACCTAAATTTATGGACCGGTTTGCAAATATATTGGAAATTATACCAAGGTCGATGCCTATAAAGCTAGGCAGTATGTAATTTTGAGATAATAAGGATTCTGAACATTAAAGGGTCTAGTCACATAAATATTTTGCTTGCTCAACTGACAGAACTCTGCTGTCTGCATCATTCAGAATGACAATCGGAGATTGGTAACGGAAAATTGAGACTATCGCCACTTCCGCATATTTTTCTGAAACTTAAGACGGAAAATCCTCAGTATAGAATCAGAATCACAAATCACATATTTTATGCAAGATTATGGGAAAAAAAACGATCCTCTGCTTACCTTTGAAGCCTTTAACAGCATATAAATCACATGGTAAATCTAATCAATAGAAAGACGTTAGTCCTTGAAATAAGATAAGGTTTATTTCTATCAGAATTTTCATGACCCACATACTATATCTACTTAATAATAGAGTGGATTGATTAAAAAAAACTTGCGCAAGTCATTTCCTAAATAAAGAAACTTTGATGCCTTGATATAGTGAATTCGGTCGACAAGTCATTTAAAGCATCTAATTGAATCACTGAACAACATCATCGAAAATTTATTGAAATATTTGCAGACCAACAACTGTGATCATGGTCGTAGAGTCCGATTCGCTTAGACAAGACCCGTGATTTGTTAATATGCAGTACACAGCTTCTTTTAAGCAGAAGGGGGTATATGATTGAAAATAGCATATAACAATGTCGGGAGTCGTTGATGGTATTTGAATCAGATGGTTGTGAATCTTGAAAAGACTAGATAAAGGGAGATAAACATAATGAAGATTTTCAATGTTCCCGTTCTCGTCCTTAATATTGACAGAATAATGGCGTTATGACATTCAATCCGAATCTTCTCTATTCTTCCACAGAAACAATCCTTATCGCATTTTTTTACATTATTTGCCTCAGAACCAGGGTAGTAGCCCTAAATAGTAAAATAGAAATAGTTCATAACATCTGCTGTATAATAACATGTTAAAAAGACAAAAAAAATTATTTATTTCATCAATAGTTATTTGTCATCAGATAAAAACAGTGTCTATTTTTTGTTTTGTTTTTTTTATTTTTTTATTTTTTTTTTTGTCAATTTAGAAAGTCTACCCCAGTGCGTTTAGATCTAATGCTGCTTACGTGGCGTTTAAAGGTATTTCTACAGCACTTCATTCACCAATGAATAGCACTGTTCACGTACACTTATTATTACCGGAAATATTCAAAAATCGTATATCCTTGCATATCCAGCAACTGACAGAGAAGACATTTCATTTTTTTTTAAAGGAATACTACGTCTTAGAATGAACATAAAATTTAAAATTTTAAACTTGGCCAATATAATCCGATAAATCCCCAAAATTTAGTAATTATCCATAAATATTCAATTAACTGTTGAAAAACGCTTTAAGATTAAGCGTTTTTCAATAATAACATTGTTTTATGAATTTTCCAATTTTCCAATTTTCCAGGGATTCTGTTGTAACTGACGCTAGGTTCACTGATGAATATATATACTCATATTGACCATTTTGAGAACCTTAATATTATGTTCAATTTAAGACGTAGTATCACTTGGCACGTGTCTTAGACGCGCGTTTGTTAGAATTGAAGACATCAAATTAAAAGTGATATTCGAATGATTGTTATGTTAGATTAACTGATCTATTGCTATTGCGGAAGAGCATGCACCTGATTGACGGTCCAAACATCTTTTTTATTGATGATTAGAGAGTTAATACAACATAATCAATAAGTAAATATTTCAAGTTATTTGTTTGATATTTTATATTTCAGCTGATACAGTCGATACACGTTATTATCTTAAGTGGTCGTCTTTCTTACATTGATTATCTATTAAATTCTCCTTCAAATACAGATCACTAATGTCCATGTAATCTATTCCTTCTTTCTGTCTCTACAACTTATCAGTTGTTTCATTTTACAAGCCTTTGATCTTATATTCTAGGTCAAAACTATTAGATTAGACGTGTAGCCATAACTATACGATAAATTGAGTATTTCCTACACATTTGATTGTAGATTCAAGCATTGGTATGTACTCACTCCAATAAAAGTTAAAATATAGAAATATTGTCACCTGAGATCTAGTCCGACGCTTCATTTTTCATCGTGTGTCGCACGACAAGACATTATGTGTTATCTTTCCACACCCATCCAATATTTTACCAAATAATATCATACTCGAATAACATAATTTAAACTAAACGGGAATATTAAGGCCTGCAAGCAGATTTCACGTGCTGTCTAGTTATGTTCATCTTCCAGATAAAAACATTAACAATAAATTTGACAACAAAAACTTTATTAAATGGAAAGCATAAACATAAAAGATGAATTTATTTCTAAATGTTCTTTTCTTAAATAACTATAACAGGTTTAGAACAACTGTAGGCTTCATCACTTACTATATTTGAGTTTCATTTTGCGTGGTGAACACATTAATTTATCCCAGGACAATTCATTCTCCGACAGATTGCTGTCGTAAAAGTTGTCCAACAATCAAGTCAAGATGACAATTTGTCCAGGGTGTCGTTTCCAGTGATTAAGAAGATATTTGCCCAGTCACGACAAATGAGGAGATTCTGATTTGAAGAACTATCCAATCACGTAAAGATCAATTGTTAAAATCAGCAAATACACACAACAAGCTGACTTAATAATATAGTTCTCTAAAGATTTCTTGATAGTTTTTACTTCGTTCAATAAAATTTTGCAATTTTTAAAAATGAAACCCACTGTGTATAATCTATTCACGACATTTGAAAAGATGTTGTTTTTCTAGAGCATTCTTTGTGCAACACCTCCGTGAAATGACAGAACAAAAACTGTGTTCCTTTAAAAAAAAAATATTCTGACAGTTCATTTTCTAAGCGAACAATTGTTTTGGCGATCGTTTTTAGATTATGCTCAGCTGTTCTGTTACTCAATAGTGTAATAAGCATCATGATTTATATCATTTTTCCACAAAACATTAGATTCATTAACAATAGGATTCAGTCGTCTAAATGTTTGTTTTTACACCTTTTCAGCTATCTGAAGTCTGGTTCGTCTGTAATCTCAGAAAAGTAAGCCCTACTAATAGAAAGCTAAAATCTTTAGACGAGTGCTTATTAGTGTACTGTGCTAAAACTTTAAAATACTTTTTATTTAGATTGCTGATAAATAACAACAATTAAACGTGAGTGCAGTATTTTAAATTTTTCGGGACGCAGTTGCTTATCTAGGTGAGTGGGGGCCCATGGATTTAAATGGATTGGCGCCCCTCCACCGAGAATTTTTTTTGTTAACATTATTATGCTCTCCTGCATACTAAGACCCATCTGGAAGTCAATTTAATACCTGTAATTAGAAGTTTTAAATGGACAGATGCAACACTTCCGGGAGTAAATCATACATTTGTCTCAAAAACGTGAATTGTTCTGCTAAACTAATCAGTAATGTTATGAGCATACCGTTGAAATTTGAGCCTTCAAATCCAAGTGTATCCATAATCATCTATTTTTGAAAGTTAATTTAACAAGTCGTTTTAATTTGAATAGCAGTCCTGTCCGAGTTCGTCTGCGACGTCGTCTTGGTGTCGGAGACTATATCAACAAGACGTTCAACTTTAGGATACCCCAAATTTCAGATAGATAAGCCTGTGAACGAAATAAAAAAGAAGTTAACTTTCCTGTTTGAGGTCTATTGCAAGGAATAATGCACTACACTTCCAATTTATTAAGAGTACCTTGGACTTCATGATTTGTCATGTCATTGTGTCTGATGTTGTGTCAGTTCTCTTGGTGATGGATTTGAACGAGTTCTTTGGTCAATGGTTTTATGGCGATTTCACACATTTACGAGAAGGTTAAAACCTGTTCCACATACAAGTATCTTGTTTCACTAGAGCATTCACACCATTAGAAACGTATCCAGTTATTTTGATCTACAGATTTGTAATCGCCATCAATGTGCGTAATTCTTATTTATGAGATCTATTGGGAATGTTAAGATAGGTACTCAGATCGGCTATCTTTATGTTGTTAATGAAACCTTTCATCGTGACTAAATCACAAAATGTGAATACATTGATGAACATTTCAGATTATAGCACAGTTTCTATTCAATTCCAACTCTTTTCATAAGCAAACATTTTATTTTATTAACTACATACATACATGCATATGATTTATATGTAGATTCAGTGCAGTCTAAAGTCTTAAAACAATTGATACAAAATATATACAGGTGTACGCGTATGAGATAAATTTCCAAAATATTTGATTGTTTTTTCTCAATAAGGCTTCCAGATGTAATCAAAGGTTACTTTCGATCATAATAAAAGGTTACATTTAAAGGGACAGATGCGCGCCATTTTTTTTAAAACTATTAGCTAAGTCAATCAGTAATAGTGTATACAGCTCATCGTCGAAATCCATGTGTATCCAGAATTATCCGCGTTTGATTGTTGACGTACATTTCTAGTACTTCTTTGGACTATTTACATATATTCAACACTCAAAACAACGCCCCAAAATGGCGCATCTGTCCTTTTAAGCAATTGGTTCAATGTTTCATTCATGGGATTTGTTTATTCTATGCCTCCTGTGATTGTTTATGTATGAGTATCAGAAGCAAACGACATCCGCCTCTGTTCACTTCCGGTTGAAATCATGGAGATGCCAGTGGCTGACCCAGATAATGACAATCTGTCGATTCGTCTTAATGATTTGAGAAATGTCAATAACGATTTACAGCTAAGAATTTCTCGGAGTGCCAAGCGAAATCTTGATCCCGTCACGCAATACAAACAGAAATTAACACATTTGTTGGAATATAATAGGTAAAACACTATAGAAAACGTCAGTTGATTTCCAGCGTTTTTAACAGGATCGGTAAACAGATCTAGAATCTGTGTTGAAATCGCTAAGTGCAGCGTAAAGGGATACGTTAGTAGTATCAATGCAAACGATTCCGCTAACAACATAGTGGTCATTTGTCGCCATCGACTCTGTGCTGTATGACTCGCGCTACTATCCTTCCCAGTTAATGACGCACTTCCGGCACTATCTTTTCTAAATTTGACTTTAAAATCAGACATATTTGCAGATCTCCTTACGTTATGTATAATAATAATATTGCTGACAATGATCACAACAAAACACACTGTTAGATACAAAATATGAATCCAAGGCCATACTTTCGTCCAAAAATACAAATAGGTTTCTGAAGGCGGAACTACGTCACACATTCTTTCAGTTCTGTCTGGGGGGACCATATCTGATGAAAACAGGAAATGGAATTCTTTTAGGGTGACCACAAACACAAGTGAAACGACGACAATTTTGGCTCTTTTCACTAAATTCAAGGTAGATGCTTTTAAGGGTTTCATTATAGCAAACGCACGATCTGCAGTCATAGCCGCAGTCAAGATGATGGTATAGTCACAGTTTCCCCAACCGTAGAAGTTAAAAAACTTGCACATGTAATGAGAGTATGCTGATCTAACAACTATTTCCGGGAAATTCATATACAACCAATGAGCTGTCAGCGATATAATCAAACTTGTAGCATCGTTTAATGCACAAGCTATCATGTAGACGGATGTAGACAGATATCGGAAGTGTTGTGTCCTCATGACGCATATAGCTAAAATGTTACAGACATTGCCGACTAAAACTAGAATAGGCGGAACGTAAAGATTAACTATATCGGCTATTTTGAATTCCTTGAAGTCTTTAGCAGATGGGTGGCTGGTGACGGACTGGTTAGACTGGTGACTTGAAAACGTGGCAGAGACGTAAATGTCGCTCATATTGAATTCCATGTTGAAGGATATTTGTATATATCTATATATATATTATATATGAATAACAATACTTCTATACCACTATCAGGAATCTGAAAGGATATTAAATAATAAAACAGTTTAGTTTTTAACGACATTTAGATGCAGAAGGCACATATCAAAAACAAACACAGGGAAATATATATGGTATAACAAAACAGTTTAAAAACATATCAAAATAACATCATGTATTCCTAATGATAAATTAATGTCATTAACGAATCTTGACAACTAAACTTGTTAGACCAGTAATTGTAGAAACCTTGAAGACACTATGGGTTCGTATCAAACTATCGTATTGGTGAGTCGAAATTATAAAATGGTATGGGTTAAAAGTTAAAGAGTTTTCGTCTAAGGAATGTCTAGAAATTATTCTCAGAGCTTCTTCAAGCAAGCACTTCTTAGGTTGAGATAGAATTATGTGAAAGCCTGAAGATATTGAAGCCAGACAGATAGAAATTGAGACAGATTGAACTTTGATCATTCTAAATAGTTAACTTGCCTGAATCTTTCAATAATTATTCCATTTGCTGAGATAATTAACACTCGGTCCAGTCGGCTACAAGATTTATTCACTTTATATTACTATGTGCTGTATTTTATTATCATTGTGAATTCCATTGTAAATTAGAATAACCTTTCTGTTGTAAATGAAGGACTGACAAGACATCAAACGATAAACTAATTCCCCAAAGTTCTTTAGGATGTTTGGACAGTAAATTAATAGGCGTGGAGTGTGCGAGTTATTGCCACATATCTGGATAACTTTCTCTGAGTGTCATCGGTGACAGTGCTTGTCGGTTCTAGATTGGGAACGTTCAGATCACAAATCTCCACGCCATTGCACTTTTTCTATTGTTTTTTTTTTTAAATTTTCATATTTTACTTATAAAATAACAATTTCTAAATATTTTACATTTGCCATTTCAATGAATCGATAACTGTAAATCCCTCATTCTATTTCCGATATTTTGCTGGAAGTATTAAGACGATAGCAAGCCCCTAATTAATTCTATGAGGATTTTTTTAGACATCACTATTACAGTATTCTATTCAGCAATCAATTAACGGCTTAGCGAGTGTTCCATATTTCTCAGACGAGGTCGAGCGAACTGTCAGAAATATTAATTGATATTGGAAGTAAGATTACTGGTAATAAATCTAAAAAGGTAATGATAGACCTACCGAGATAAGAAATACTATTAAAATGATGAAAAATTGTTAGGAATATCGTCCATAAGATCAAATTTTAGAAAAGACGCAGAAAGTGTACTAAAGATAAGGACAGAAATATATTTGTGAAATAAACATTTCCATTTTAGTTTATCTGCCACTGCCTTAAAAGGCAAAACGGATATGTTCGTTACTGTTACATTCATGCATGTGAAGCATAAAATTCATAACATTTTATAACATTGCTTGTAGCCTAAGGCAGAGTAGCCCACACAATAGATAATTCTATGGCAGCTTATACCTCTGTAGCTAGCTATAAACGGTCGGTCTATATGTTAACCATCTGCAAATAGCAGATGAGATATCAATTGACCTGGAAGCAAAACAGACGGCATGAAAAACCTGAGAGATTAAAATTCTAATTCAAAAACTTTTAATTAAGACATAGCAAATCGAAGAAAAATAGAATTGATAGTGATAATTATTATCTTGAATAAACATTCGTACCAATTTTTTTTCTCACCATTGTCATAAAGCACCCTTTGTGCATTCCAACTTACCACTGCAGGTTTCAGTGAAATCTAATAACACAACATAATTGCTACACATAATATCAGCATATCAATACCAAAGTCAATCTAATCAAAACTGTAGTTCTATCCAGTAGATCCATAGATAGAATAAATGACATGCGTTAACGAGTGGCAAGTGTCAACAGTATTCGGCCCCTTTAATAGAAGAAGTAACTGGTAAAGTCGGCTGGAGCTTTGGTTAATAAAAGTTTTCATAAAATGAACAGCTATACAATACATAGATTATATCATTATATTATGACACATAAATTGACAAGAATTTTTTCTTAAGCAGACGTTAATCATCCATGAAGATTAATTTCGTCCTATTAGTTTTACCAAAAATTACTCCAGACGCTCAATATGTTAAGGTTTCCTTGTAATCATCTTGTCTCCTCAAATGATAAAAAATCCGCTCTGATAAAACATGAATATGGACTTTAGTTTTTTCCCTGTCACTTTAAAAAAATAGACTGTAGATCCTGAATCATTATATTACTGTCTTATAGATGTGGTTTTAGAATCACATTCTTAAATTATACATCGAAATACCAACCCCAAAATAGTACCCAGATTGCCTTCAAGTTGATTATATGTTCCATAGTACGAAATTTGGTTCAGCAGAGGGAGGGGTTTTTGGTCCAATTGTTTAAAACTATCAGATGCTATTTCTGTGTTAATTCGAATGAATCATCATTAAAAATTATACTTCTCTCTCTGGTAGCATTATTTAATTTTAACTTTTTTTCTCTCTTTTTTAAAATAGGAGCGTCACATTTTGTGTATTTTGTTCTTACGTGTTTAAAATATTTTATAAAATACGCTCGTACAATTAAATTGGCTAAATACTTTGAATATATTCCAAAACCAACACAGATATATTCTATTATCCTCATTATTAATTCAATTAACTTTAAGAGATTGTGTAAAAGTTGTTTAAGAATCTGTTCATTAACTCATTTTTTTCTTTTATGGCATGATATTACAAGTTAAAAGCTCCGTGGCTTATTCCGTTTATATTAAGATAAATTCCTTTCAATCCAACAAGAAAATTAGTATTCACCGACATGAGTTGCTTGTAATGTGTTAGACAAAAATACAGAAACCTGGTTGTTTTTTTCGATCAACTATAAGACATATATTGCAATTCAGGCAGTATGTCATGTTTTGTCATAGATATGCAAATTCAATCTCGGTACATACATTAAAGAACTTTTGTGAACGAAATTAAGAAATAACGGAAAATTCATTGATACGAGTGGATCCCTGAATTCCTTTTTTTTTCATTATTCGTCACCACTTCTTCCTAAAGATGGAAAAGGGCAGGGCGAAACAGGAAATCTTTTCATGCGTATATCAAGATATTCTGCAATCTCATAATCGTTTCTTTGTTATGCGCAATGTGCTGTTGGCAAACTGATTTTTTGTCTCGTTTTTCGTGAATATTATGACTATTTAGACCAGGAGTTTTCAACCTTCTCCTTCTATTACCTCTTTCAGATTCCTAGATTCATTACTTTACTCACTTCCCTCATAAACCCTTACTATTTCCTCTTTCCCTTTTCCCTGCAATATTGTCGGAGAATAAAGCCTGACTGAATAGAACAATCTACATTGAAATTGCCAAAAGCCAATAACCCCCATCAAATATTCAGAACTACCCCCAGATTGAAAATTTGCTGGTGATCTGAATTTCATTCTTTTCAATAAAATCGAGCAATATTGTCTTTTTTTCTGCACAAAACAATCACAATACTTAATAAGCACAAAATCCACAAAACCTTTGAAAGTCTTTGAAATTAAGTGCAAGTTTAACATTTTTGCACCAAACTTGCATGTTGTTATTAGTGATGAATTCAAGATGGGTTCCATAACGCTGGCAACAGTTATACATGTACACATAGTACACATAGTTATTATTGTAGTTAGAAATGGATTAATCTTACACCAAATATTATATCAAAATTGAAATTGACATATTGACTGATATTATTGTAGATATGTACCAGGAAGGTTGTAAACGCTATTTCCTATATTCAAGAAAAGTTTCATACCACCATTAAATGTGTAAAAAATACGGATCTGGAATCCAGACTAAAAGTTTCTAAAAAAGAAATCTTCGTGAAGAGAATTACACCACAATCTTTCTGATAATAGATAGAGAACTATCTGTTACTGACAGGTGATATCCGTTAACCTTACAACCTCGCCAGTTTTTTTTAAACCTTGAACAAAATAATTTACTACAAATGTATTTGCTGACAATATATTCGCCTACCTTTATATTCATAACAATCCAGTAGAGTTGAAACTTAACAGTACAATTCTGTTGATCAACAACAAATATAATTCCATTCCATTCCAGTCACGAGAAGAAAGGATATGATATCACACTCAAGGAAGAATAATTCTGTGACACACCGTCTTCAAATCACTTATTGAATATGGTAATTTGTGTAACTATAGCCGAAACACGCTGTCATAAGATAAAAAGTAATGGCACCAATCATGTAAGGTTTTGTCTGAGAGGGATGGATATTCAATAGGCTAATTTAGTGATAAGTAAATTACACCTATATCATACATTTTTCCATTCAATATTCAAATTAATTAGAGTTCAGGCAAGTATTTTGGATTTATGTTACTACATGATTGATAGAACTTGGAGGTACTCCTACTTTACAAAATAATAAAATAGCGTTATGTTCGTTTACAATAGCGTATTACCTACAATACTACCTAGATATGATGATAAGTTTGGAACAATGATATAATTATAATGATTCATATAACAATAGTTGTCTGACACATTAGATCTATTGCTTTATAAATTATAGACGAATCTGAAATGATACGGGTACCTATTGTTCATTCATCTTATTAGCATGGTCTACTGCAAAAACCCTGGTGCTGTTGATTGTGTTGTCAATATAATGACCTCGAAACTCTCATGTCAGCTCATCTAAACTATGTCTGTCCTCGTGCTTGTTCAACTGGAATAATCCTGTTAACATTTCTGCTTCTCATCCTATCACCAGAGCGGGTGTTCGGGTTGACCTTGCGAAACTGGAATTTGAACGACTGCGAGGAATCACAATCATCTGATAAAGCCTGGTCCGTCTTTGTTTTTAGTTCACGCACCAAGGACTGAATTATTGGAGTTGCCCTCAGATTTACTGGAATGATTAAAACTGGGGGGACAGTAGATCAGTTCAGAAACAC